AGTCTCCACCTATAGACAATGAAATTATTTTCAAGAAGATGTAAACTAAGAGGAGCAAAGGTGGTATTAGTATTACTATTCAAATTACTGTGAAGTTAGAGAGGCTGAGCCTTCCCTGGACCCCTCTGTTTTCATGGCATCATCTGTTCATACAAAACTTGGCAAGTGGTTATTATTTTTTATTTTTTATTTTTGCTGGACAGAGTATAAAGTGACAGGCAAATGCCAGTGGCAGGAATAGTGTCTTATGGTCCTGGGAGACAACATCCTCCACCCTTGTTTGCCCTGTGTACTAAAATAATAACCACTCCTAACCAAGGGGGACCATGTGCCTCCCCCACACAGCACAGATAATGGTTACATTCTTCACAGGGTTCTGAACATTGCCAACTAAGTACCCTGAGACAAGCAGCTTGTGTATTACTACTAATGATCAGAGCTCCACACCTCCTAATTTCAAGGGATTTAATTAACACATCCTCTTCACACTGACCAACCTGGTTTTACCTCACCCAAGTGGTAATCTATTAAATAACTTTAGCCTCACAGGACTTTGTCATGTGATTTGATTTCCAGTGTCTCAGGGCTCTCCTGACCCAGGGCCATTTTCACTCTTTAAGGCAATGTGCTGATTGCTGTCCTGTTCTACAGTAGCTAACATATAGACCACTGAAGGAAGCAATGAAAGATAGCCGAAACCTCTGACTGGACAACTGCATTTTGTGTTTAGAGATATTAAATGTAGTAAAACGTCAAATATATGCTTTCTATGCTGTTGGGACAAAGCATGCTGAAGTACACTTTTAGAAAAATGATATAAAAAGGTGTTGTCTTCCCTAAAAGGAGTACTGGCTGTTTGCACTGGCCTGAATGCCAGAATCCTATTCAGCTTGGACTTGACCCACATGATGAGACTGACCAACAGCCACTGCTCAGGTCTACAGTTCAGTTAGATGCCCTTACAAACTGCCTTGCCCCCTTTCCTAAAGATATAGCATCTGCATTTAGAACTTGAGTCATTTATTGTTTCCTTCAGTTACAAAATAAACTTGGAAAGTTTATCATTCTGGGTGTCCTCCATTTTTTTTTATCATGTATAATGCTTTTCCAATAATTACACAAACACAACATAATCTTGTTAGAGGAAATAAGCCAGACTCTGAAAGACAAATACAGAATATTTTCTTTCATATGTGAAACCTGGGCTTAAAATTATATATGTGTGTGGACATATAGAGGGTCTCAAAACTGGAAGGGGGATCTTGAGGGGAGGAAGAGAGAGCTCTTAAAAGGGGAGGACAATGGGATTCCTGTGACATTAATGCAGAAGAGGGGACTGTTGGAGGGCAGATGTCATAGGGAATGGCAATGATGGAAGGGCTGAATTAAAACAAAGCATAAAGACTTATCTGCAGGTAAATGCCAAAATTAATCCTGTCACTTTATATGCTACCTTAAAACAAGTATTTTAATATAAGTCTTCAGTGTAAAAGGGGAATACACACACTTTTCATCTGCATCCAGTCTTAATGGTTTCTGTGAGCAGTACAAAGTATTGGCTTCAGTTGTCATCCATTCCTTCCTGTTCTAGGAATCATTCATTCCAGACTCAAATTCAAAAGACACCAGAGACAGTTTTTATTTTTATTATGATGATGATTTTAATAGGCATGCAAAGATGAAAGTAGTGAAATAGAAAAGAAATGACCCTGCTTTAGGCAAAGAAAACCATTTTTATGAAGAAGAAATTCATATGCTGGATCAAACATTCTAAAATACATGATCGTGTGTGTGTGTGTGTGTGTGTGTGTGTGTGTGTGTGTGTGTGTTACATACAATTAAAACCAGGCAAACATGGCAGAAAGCAAAATTTCAATGGGTGATGGAGTTTTGCTGATATTTAAGAGTAAAACACAGTGGTCTTAACTTGTGCTTTCACTTAACTGTGGGAGGGTCGGCACACATCTCCATACCCACAACCATGACTTCTGTAGTGTTGGTAACTCGGCTGGAAAACAGGAGTCCTGAGGTTCTGAGAAATGTAATATGCCCAGTAAACCACTATTCTAAATCTCTAGTCTTCAATCTATTTCTTCCTCATTGAACCAATATTAGAAATACTAATTTTATAGAAAAGTGGTTATTACAAACATTAGGAGTGAAATTCATGCTTCTGGGTTAGATAATGTCAAAAGGCATTGCGGTTTCATGTGACTGCGTCTTTTTCTTCAGAGTGTTGGAAAATAGCTTAGAGCACAGAGCACCAGGGAGAGGCAGGCGACTCTTCAGGGCAGGTTTTCTTTCCTGCAGAGGGCAAACCCAGGACCTCACTTGAAAGAGGCCCTCACCACCCTACCCTTGACCGGCTGCGGGGGGCGCCAATTCCCCACCAGAGGCACCGGGGGCTCATTCTCCGTGCTGGCGAATAGACTACGCAGCTTGGCCATCTGCAAGGGGAAGAAGCAGACTGTTAGAAACAGCTGGCTGTGCAAGCAGGCCAGGCAAACCACAAAACCAGTCTCCAGGGATAGATAGGTCGTGAGCTGGCAAGAACCAGTTCATAACATAAACATTTCCTTACTCCCAGGACCCCCTGCTCTCTGGGCAACCGCCTTTCCCACCAAAGTTCTTCTGAGTTGTAAATTGGGGGGATCAGTATGAGGTATACACTTTACATAGAAGGGGATGACGGTTTACTGTATGCCTGTAAATAAGAAACACCTTGATAGGCTTCCACTGTGTAATCAACTCAAGTATTTATGAGACTACTTTAAAGGACAAGAAAGAAGTTAAAATCGGGCTATATGTTAAAATGTTAGCTTTTTTCCCCTTAGAGGAAGAGAAAATAGGAAATTCTCATAAAAATATTATGCCTTGGTAATAACCTAGATAGTTCAGTGTGTAAGGATGGCAAGCCTGACAACCTTTGATGCGCTGAAACCACAGGGCGCAGGGCTGCAAGTTGTCCACTGATCATCACACGTGTGCTCACACACATGTATACACACACATGTGTTATACTTTTAATGTTAATATATTATGCTTTAGTGATAAAAATTGTCTTATAGCTTTCTTCATTTAAAGACTGTTAAAGCTAATTCTTATTTTATTTGTTTTTAATGTTGATTTACTCTCGGGTTCACCCTGGAGGGAACATATGAGCCCCTGTCTTAAGCCAAGGAGTCAGGCTGGTGAGCTGATCTTGCTGTGATACATCCATGTTCCAGGCTGTGAGCCCTGTGTGGTTCACTTTAACTATGTTCTCCATGTCTACACCCACTTAGCTTTCCTTGAAGCCCTATCTTATACATGTTGCCAGTCCATTCTTTAGATGAATGGAAGTAGGGCGGGAGTGAGAAGAGCAGCCAGGGACTCTTGAAAGCAGACAGATTGTGATTGGGATGAGGAGTTTGTGCTTGCTTGTCCTTGTGGAGAAATTGGTTTGTTTCAGAATCTGAGCCTCAGCTTCTTTCCTGGTAAAAGCTGGAGGAGCACAGCACTCCTCCTCAGGCCTTTTCTCGCCACCTCATCTCCTAGCCAGTCCTCACTCATACAGAAACCCAGTTCAGGACCCCACCTGCTCTTACAAGACTGCATTGTCCCATTACCCTTGGGAAGCTCCCTTGGATAAACAGGCTGAGGGAATTTCTAGAGGGCAAACTGTGAGCCCTCTGAGGAACATACCAGCGATCTAGCTTTCAGTGTCTATGGGTTGGGCCTTTAGCATGTGCCTTCAGTCCACAGTTCACACACAGGGCTCTGCGGCTGCACTCACCTGGTCTGAGCTCACAGCCATAGGCTCCTTCAACAGCAGCCACACGATGCACTCCTCGCAGGGTGGCGTGGTGAAGGAGCCATGATAGGTCCAGTAGTCGCGGCAACAGGATGGGTCGAAGTGGGTGAAAGGAGCCTCCTTGCCCTGGAACACAGGCGCAAGTACTCTAAGAGAACACGAGCACTCAGCGCCCCCTAGAGGCCTGACTTATTCACTCATGAGAACAGATTTCAATAGCAAAAAGGAAAGCAGACATTTGAACAGGTTCTGCCCCTTCACTAGTAAACCTCTGATGATGGAAAGGAATCTGCTTTATGTTCTGACTTGGTCTGTTCAAGTCACTGTAGTATTGTATTCCTTGTTTTCACGGTGAGTGGGGCTGTGATTCTGTGCTTTCTCACAGGGCACACTCAGACCGAAGAATAAATACTTCTTGGAAGTTGACTTGACTTGAAGACTTTCACTTTAGTACATTTCATGCTCAGAATACTCACTTATTCTAGTGTCCACACTTAAAAGCAGCTACTTGGAATAATCTCAAAATAAACAACTAAAATGTGTCAGTTAGAGGAGTTTACTGTTAATTGTGTGTGTGTGTGTGTGTGTGTGTGTGTGTGTGTGTGTGTGTGTTTGCGCGCGCGCGCGCGAATGCTACCAAGAAAGGACAATACCAGGATTGAAAGAGTGATAGTGAGTGGCCTGAAGAATATCAACCATCCTGTGCCCACCATGGAGGGAGGAAGGAGACCCTGAAAGGTCTCACAAACCTTCCTGGGGAAAGAACTTATCTGCCAGGCTGACTGACAAATGAAGTAACAGATGTGAAAATGCTCTAAGGACTCAACACTAGACAAATACCACGGCATTTAGTTTTGTATGCAAACGTAGGATGTCCATCAGACAATGGCAGGTCTTATCTGAAATTAGAAGACAGTTGATATATCCTGACTTAGGTTTGCAGTCCTCATATGATTTGCTCTTACCTTAGTCTTAATTTTGTCCAGGGCATCAAGGAAAATCTGGAACTCTCCTTTCTCCCGTCCTATCTGTAAGAAAACAGACATCCAATAAGATACTTTTCTTTCCTTTATGATTGGAGATCATCTTAAAAGCTGATTTGACCCATGCACATGCAATTGGTGTTTATAAGCTTTCCACGGTCTTGGGTTAAGCTAAATATAACTTTATTCACTCTGAAAGATTGTATAATATATATTTTCTGATCTAAATTTGGATTTCAGTTCTCTGAGGTACAAAACCACAAAATTGCATCTTGGTTCAACTCTATTTCCTTGACCCTCTCTGCAAATTCATTCCATTTTTTAAAAGAGCCAAAGCAAAAGTAGACTATGTTGCCACAACCAAACTCATTGCCTTTCCCCTCCTAGTCCTCCCAGTGAATTCAGAAGCTAGAACAAACTAGGTCATTCACTGGCTTAAAACTCAGATTGGGTTGCCACAAAGTTCATGTGTTAATGTCACTAAGTCCTATTTAAACCAAGGCTGGCTGAACAACACACACATTCCTTGTGCCATCCTAGCCTGAGATCCTGTGGGTGGTGGCCCCCATAAGCTGAGAGGAGGTCCCGCCAGGCACTTGGCATCACAGAAGTTCCCAGCACTGGGCTTTCTGGTTTCCAGTGTGATGGAAATAGAGCATCATGAAAGGAAATTTAACACATGTTGTGCTCATCGTGGCACTTGCCCTTGCTTTTGCCTTCATAAGCTTTAAGCCTCTGCCCTCACACATGCTTCAAATACAAGGGGAAAATTTAATGCATGGTCTCCTAAACGTTAGTAAGGGACTACATTCTGAATGAGAAAAAAAATTAAAATCAGTGTCTACCTCACCTTCAGAAAAATGCCAACAACAGCGATTCCATCGGGTTGCTTTAGAGCTTCTCCGAAGGTGTTGTACTTTGGGTTCCAGTGAACCAGGTGAAGCTGCAACCACCAAACACAGGCTGTGAGATAAAACCTTGGCATATGAAAATAAGCATTATTTTCCACGAGACCCAAATGTGTACAGTCTCTAGGTTGTTGCTGAACACTCCCATAGAAGTTGACAGAATTCTAAATATTAATAAGCAATATTTCAGTGAAATTTCAATAGTTCAGATAAAAGTGTATAAAAGCATCTGCCTCCTTGTAGACAGAGCTCCAGTGTCTGGCAGCAAACTTATCTTAATTTAGGACATGAGCACAGCTTAAGTAATCAAGTTGCCCATATTGAGTTACTTAGAATGGCAAGAGAATAGTTTATAGCAGTTAAAATTTATATTCAATTTCAAAAATGTCAGATAATCCCATGTACAAACACCACACTCAAAGCCTCTTCCACATTTGGAAAAAAAAATTAGCCTGAACTTTCTCCAGTGGTGGAGTAAATGTCTAGTCAAGGAGACATTCCTAATAATTTATTGGTCTCTACCCCAGCTCTCTAGATAGCCTGTAGAGAAATGGCCATATCCCCCTAAATGCGACTGATGTCAATCTTATCTGGAAACCAACCAGACTAGGCCTGGGTAGTACTTGGAGTTTCTTCAGGTTTTATTTAGCTAATAGTTAAGTACTCAGTAATGCTCTGAAAGAGATCACCTACAGTGTGCTGCCATGCTCACATTTCCATCACTTCCTAGTCCTCACCAACATCTGCTTTAGAAAAGAATGAAGCAGGAAAATGAATTTTGCTCACTTGTTGGATAATGCTATCCACACTTGATTTTCTAATAAAAATTGGAAGTGGCCTGTCTTATTCCATTTGCAAATTACTGTGTAGGGGAAGCTGTAGCCACGCCTACTTAGGGGCTGGCTACAGCTTCCCCTACATTACTGCCTTAGACAAGATGCATACACACAAAGATACTTGCTTAAGCAAGCAGAAAGTAAGGATTTCTTGTAATTACTAAATGTTGTTTTTAAAGCATTATATGTACTTATAAAGGAGATATCTGATCCAGTCTGTACAAAGACCAGGCCTACCAACTCCGCTTCTCTTATGTAAACCTCATGTTGCCTATTTGTAACCTCTTACAAGTGGTTGCAGTGGGGTATCAAATCAGCTAATGCACACAGTTACTTCACACACATTAACTGCCTTACTGTTGTGGCTCTATTCAAGACTATGCCAATTTCTCAATATAATCTGGAGAATATTCATGGAGGATGCTGACTCATTTCTGACCTAATATCCTAATATTTGGTGGTTTCACTTTATGTTAAAGCTATAATGTCTTCAGTGAGAGGCTTGAAGCAGAAAAAGCACTGCAGTTGTTTCTAAGTTTCCAGTTTTGACCATCTTAGACCTAGAGTGTACTGGGCAGTTCCTCCTACCTCAGCAGCATACTTCACTCCATCCACTGTGTGCTCAGAGCCATGGTCATCCGAGGAGCCCCAGTGAAGATGAAACTGGCGAAGTCGATAGGGTCCAGAGAGAGGACCACCCCTCAGCACTGTGAGCAAAATAACAAGGTGACTGGTTAGTTCCCCCATTGCTTTGCAAAGCCCTATCTGAAACCTGCACTCTGCAAAAGATGCCATAAGTACAAGATGTCCCCTTCTGGGAATATGGAGACAACTCCAAGTGTTTGTAACTTGAAGTCAGAATATATCAAAGTAAGAATTTTCTTTTCTCTCTTATTTTTGCTTGTTTGTCTTGTCCTTTTAACACTTTAGGAAACAAATTAAAGTAGCAGATGTTTTATGAGGACTCTGAGGACAGATTAGTAGTGCAGTACCATGGGAAGAACTGGACACGTGGCAGGATTTAGGTACCATTTCTGAGTTCATACCCTTATCATTGTGTGATCTCAGGCAAGATGCTCAACTTCTCTGAATTGGTCTTTGAGTCTCTAAGAAGGTGATAATAATCCCTCACTTTTCGAGCTGCTGTGAGGATTAACTGAGATCAAGCACTTAAATGGTACTCATGTCACAGTGCCCCATGAGGGATCACTGAGCAGGCAGGAATTCCTTCTTAGTTTCCCACTTTGAGTTTTTCCTTTCCTTAGATGACAAGCCAGAACTCTCATACACATCTACAAATCTCTCATGTAATTTCATCTCCATTCTGCCTGAAAAGCAATTTAAAGGTTGAAATATCTTCTAAAGGATACTGAAAACTGTACAGAAACCCTAAAATCAAAATTTAGCAATATAAGTTACTTGCAAATAGCATTGTAAAAAGCAGTTATTTTAAAAAGGCTTGGTTTCTCTCAGGGACACTGGAAAACCCACAGTGCAGAACTAGAGCAATAATAATACTAGGTTTGAAGCAGTTTTATCATATAAGAAGGGGGTGGTTTGGTTTGTTGTAGTCTCCTGTCCAATCACTGAGAATAGCTATGATCTGGATTTGAGTCTGAAGTATTGAACTCAACCACATTAAATCTCTAATATTTAATGTTTTGTTCTTAAAATGGTATTACATGTGATTATGCTTCTGATTTTTAATTTTGTTATTGTTTTTCCTTCCAAATGGAACTTCAGCTTTTAAGGCAAAGAAAAAATGGGAAAGAGCAACAGAAAATAATTGCTCAAGAAATGATAATCTTCTGTCATCTTCCTTGCCTGGAAGGTAGGAGTGCTCATTTTCTCATTATTTCATATGACATCAGGATGCTTACTCATGTATATTAACAAAGGAAATTTTAACTTATGAAGAATATGATTCTAGAAAACCACATTCTTGATAACTAAAGAATAATTCTTTTGTATTTAAATTCTTTAATTACTACTCATATGTACACGTCTACTTGTTTGCAATGAAATAAAGCTTGCTTAATAAAAACAAAGTTTCAATCTAGCTCTGTCTGTCTTGGAACTCATCAGGAAGACCAAATTATCCTCATATTTGTGGCAATCCTCTTGTCTCTGCCTCTTGAGTGTTGGGTTTATAAGTGTGAGAGTCATCAAGCCTGCCTGAAATAAAGTCAAATTAGTCTTATTTCACAGATTGGTTGCCATTGCAGCCTTTAAAAAATCATATGATTTTTCCAGTTTCACACTAACATTGACCCAAGAAGAAGTACTCAGATGCATCAGAAACACTTGCCACAAAAATGCCTTGGCTGAAGCCCAGTGAGGTACTGAACCTAGGTCACCTGAACTCACACAGTGGCCCTATCTTTTCCCATTGATTGGCCTCCTTCCAGTCATCCAGAGAAAAGAGCACCTAACTGATTTCTTTCTGTTTGACAGAGCCTGTTCTCCATACCATCAGGAAACAAGGATTTCATCTCTCAGTAGTCAGAAAGTCAGAGAGACCAACCATGTTAAATGTTAAATGCTAACATTTAACTTGGGCACATGGCCATTTTTCAGCAACAGAGTGACCAAAGTTAGTTAGATGGTATGACATTCTTCTTCATTGCATAAATATAATTCTTTACAACTAGAGTCAAATCGAATGTCATCTCCATTTCAGAAATGAGCTTCTCCCACTTCCCTATAATTCTGTTACTGTGTCACAAATTGCATCTTGCCAATAGATACTAAAAACATTCACATAACCCTTCCTAAGTGCTGTACTTACTAGACCTGTCATACGTGTCATCAAACACAACTCTGCAGGTCTTCCCATTATTCAGGATGGTCTTAGCAGAGCCAGGATCGTAAGATGCTGACCAGGGTTGCAAAGAGGGGTCATGCTTGATGTCTTTAGTATGCAGCTCAATGGGTGACTGATTGTCCCCTTTGGCAATTGGATAAAGTTCATGCCAGTGTTCAGGACCTAGAAAGTAAAAGAAAGAAATTTATTTAGTTAATAGTACAACCCAAGGCCTCTTTCCAGTGGACTAAGCCAGCAAAATACACATAGGCCAGAGAGTGGCTACAGAAAAGTCGTGGGTTCATATTAAGCAACATATATAGTACTTTGCATTTCAAATCTATTTAGATCCTTGCTCATCTATGCTCAAAGAGTACATGAAGTCCCTCCCCTAGCTTGGGAACCATGAAGCCTGAAAAACTCATCTTTGAAATGAATCCCCTATTGATCACATGTTTTTTACATTACTTTCTAGCTTTCAGGGTATACCTTTCTTCTCTTGCCCATGGCTGAGGGCTGGCTCATAATCAAAGCAATAATTGGTATGGCGATCCCAAGCTCAAAAAAGCCAAGTGCTCTCTGCTGAGTTTCACAGAGCAAGGTTTAACCGGACCTCATTTCGGGCTGAGTGATTTCTCAGATACATCATAAAACCTTAGACTGGTTACAGAGTGTCTCTGAGCTTCAGGTTCCTCTGTGGAAAGGAAAGCAGTGAATCACGTTAAAAGGACTAGCAGCATGGGACACCAGAAAGTTCTCTGTAAATGCTAGTTAACTCCTACTCCTATACCTACGTTTCCCAGTACACATGTACAATGCAAGGGCAACACTGTAGTGATTACCCTGGTTCCACTCACCATTGTGGCTGGCTTCACC